CACTTTGTGATACATGTCATGTATGAAAAGTGTTTTATAAATAAAATTTGATTGATTGATTGATTGATTGATTGATTGATTGATTGATTGATTGATTGATAAAAGTGTACCATCTTTTTCAAGGATCAGTTTACCCAAATCATATTTACATGCAGCATTTTTCTACTTGCAACTAGTGATCATGTTGATAGTTTTAGATATTTACTGCTGGGATATCAGCTGCAACACCAAGACATGTGCTCTCTTTGTTCCAAACTTGTAATTGTACTGTTCTTGTGCCTCCGTTCTTAGAGGGTCAGTATTTCAGTGAAGAGGAGATGCGAATGAGGGAGCCGCTGCTGTATGAGCAGTATATTGGCCAATACCTGACTGATGAAGAGGTGAGTTTTATGACATGTTTAAGCGTTGTCTAATTTTTTTTTTTGGAGGGCTATTTTCCAAATATTTTCATCTACCCTTTAGGTGCTGGAGCGCTCTCAGGAGGCCATGTCGGATGGCGCACAGGGAGCACCAGGGGCACAAGGGGGAAGCACGGGAGGGCTCGCCCACCTCCTCCTCAACTCTTACCAGGAGCGGCTCATTCAGAATCGTCTGCAGGAGGAGCAGGAGAGGGAGGAGGGTGCGCTGGAGGAAGACGAGGATGACGAAGATGATGGTGGGAGAGGGTTAAGGGTCAGAAAAAAAGTAATGTAATTAATTTGGTGTCTGGGCTCTTAGGGACTGAAATGAGACAAAGAAGAACATGAAGTCTATTTCTTTGTCCTCCCTTTCGCCCCGCTACTTTCTCACTGTTACTGCTCTGTGTTTATACTGCAGATACTGGAGTCCAGCAGAAAGGATGGGAGCCGACCCCGAAAGAGAAGACTCTGCTCAGAGAAGAGTTCATCAGTCAGATGCACCAGCGCTTCCTCGACGGTAAAGACAAGGATTTCAACTACAGGTCAGCCACAGCACCACTGACTGGAACCTTACATTGCTGCTTATTAATAGCTGCATCTGCACTAAGCAGACAATAGCTGGTGTAGCAACCAGCCTCAAGCTACCTTTAGTGGATAAAATAATTGTCAGTCAGATTTCTTAAATATGTAGGGTTGTACATGATCTCTGAGTGAGCAGACTTTTTGAAAATGTTGTTTTTTGGAAAAAAAGCATTGTTTTGTCAACTACTTTGGCGTTGACAGAACAACTGTGCCAGAGTGAAACTTAGCATCTGCTGCTAATAACCTGCTAATAATGTAGAAATCCATGTTCTAATGATACAACTAGAATTTAAGAGTGGTAAGTTTCACATGCTAAGGCAAAGTAAGGGACAAAATAGTAACTGAATAATAGTGAATGTTTAAGCTTAGGTCATAGGTGGTAGGAGAGTTTATCCCACTGGGTTTACGTTCCTGCCTGCATAAACCTTTGTGGCTGATGGTCTGTTGGTTTATTACTAGAATGAGCAGGTCACTATCTTTGGTCTTTGAGCCATGTCTCCATGTTAAGGCCTTATCTTGCCTTGTTGTTACAGGCGCTACCGCAGTAACGTAGTTTGTCTGTTTGTAACAACACTGAGCGGACTAGTTGTCTCCATATTGGTTCGTAATCTTAATCTAGCCCCTCACCCAGAGGACAATATATACCTAATGATAGGAGAAGATCCTCAGAATTGATGCTGGCGCTGCTTGCATGAACTGCTGCTCTGCTGGTGTCACTTCTCCTGATATCAGTAAACCTTATTTCAACCTAAGCCATCTGAGTCTCAGCATGTCTCTTTGTGTCTGCCTCCTCATCCTCCAACAAACTCTCTGATTTCCACAACAGTTCCTTCACAAACCACTAACCTTTTGTTTTCCCACAGGCTACAAAGTTCAGTAGAAAATATCAAAAAAAAAAATAAAAATCATATGTGGGCTTTGAAACTGTGAGTTTGTGTGTCTTCTACAGTGAGGTGGATGAGAACCCAGACTATGACAACTTGGACATCGTCAGCAGAGATGCGGAGGATAAATATTTTGATGATGATGATGATGATGATGAAGAAGAAGAGGAAGATGAGGTAGAACATGATGCAAAGGAAGAAAATATGACAGAATAGCATCTGTCCTATTTATAACACCTGCTTTGATTGAACTGTAAATACAAATGTACAAAAGAAGTATTCTGTTTGTAATTTTACATCTGATTTCAAACAAAGACTGTAATAAACATTGTTTTGGGTTTTTTGCAATTTTTTCTCATCATTTTCTTGTATAAAGGTTAAAAAAAGACATATATATATATATATTTAAAAGTACCCATAAACCATACTTGTTAACCCAACTTTCTCTCTTTTTTTCTTTAAACTTATATTGACACCTTTGTCCTCATACCACAACAATATAGATAGATAAAACTTTATTGATCCCTTTGGTAGAACCTCAAGGAAATTGTTGAATTATATAAGGAGTTTGCATGCATCATGCGGCCCTTTTTCTCGCGTCGTCTGCACTGTCTACTGTCACTTAATATCCAGTTACAAAGCTTTCATTTTTTTAATTTCTTAATTTTCAAAGTGTAATATTTCTCCTGTAATTTCAAAACTTTCAAATGCATTTTTAGTTTTTCTCTCTTCAGTTGATCAAAGTCCATTCTGTCTACATCAGAGGCTTCTGAGACATCAGAAGCTTCCGAGGCACAATCTGGTATTTCTGGATTGAGCCTAGGAATGGTCAGTTCATTGGAAAGGTAGTCTAAGTCTTCAGTTGCTTGGGGAGTGCTGTGGAAGGAACAATATTTTAAGTCTTAGCAATAAAAAAAAAAAAAGCATCTTTATGATATAAATGATATTACTTTTTTTTAGACCTTACCTTGACTGTGCTGCATCTGTGTGTCCTAGATCCTCAATTTCACTCAGCGCCCTCGAAGGTGTCGTGGAAGGGCCTGATGAAGAGAGCAGAAAGCATAAACTGATCAGCCACAGCATTAAAACACTCTATCTAACATTACCTACGTCTCACTTGTGCTGCCCAAATGGCTCTGACCCTTCGAGGCATGAACTCCAAAAGACCGCTGAAGGCTTCGTGGATCAAACTTGTTTTTTCAGCAAATCTCGTAGACGCTCTATCAAACTGGGAAATTTGGAGGCCGAATCAATACCTTAAACTCATGTTTCTCAAACCATTTCTAAATAGTTTTTGCAGTGTGGAAGGATCCTGCTGAAGAAGGTTTTTCAGTAAATTCCTGAGCTTACTGCCTCTGCTGGGTTACATTCTTCTAGTAGTGCATCATGCTAACACCCCCCCGCCATTGACATCATGTAATAGAAAATGTGGTTCCTCCGACCAGGCTACCTTCTCCCACTGCTTCATGGTCCAGTTCTGACACTCCTGGGGTCTCATTTATCATCAATGTGTAGAAAAGGTTCTAAATTTTGTCGTACAAATTAAATTGAGAGTGTGCCTAAGTACCCAAAAATCTGTATATAAAACATGCGTACAGGGCTCGTACGCACATCCGTATTGGTACATCCCTCTTGTTCTTAACCATCATGCTCTACGCACTTTCAGGATCATCTGCCTTCAGAGACGCCTCCAGTTAACTATATGGGACAAGATAACCACCACAGTTAATTCTGTTGGGTCAGACGAGAGATCGCTAGCAGAAATAAAATTTGTTTAAAAAGTGGTTTGATGTTAAACTCAGTGCCAAAAAACACGTGACAGCCCATCCATCCATCCATCCATTATCTATACACCGTTTAATCCTCATGAGGGTCACAGGGGGCTGGATTCTATCTCAGCTGACTCAGAGCAAAGGCAGGGGACACCCTGGACAGGTCGCCAGTCTATCACAGGGCTACACAGACAACCAAGCACACTCAGAGTCACATCTACGGACAATTTTAGAATCACCAATTAACCTCAACATGTTTTTGGACTGTGGAAGGAAGCCGAAGAACCTGTGATGTGGGTGCAGTCTATGGCTCCAACTATGTTTGGGAATCTAGTGATGGTGTGAAGTCCCTGTTTGATTGCAGCGCGTTGGTGATGGCTGTAAGGAAACTGGATGTAGGTTGGGACCAGGGGAATTATGGCATCCAACACTGCCGGCATGATCCTGCTCAGTGATGGCTGGGAAACGCTGGGTATCTCCAACCTCACGCTGGAATGTGCTGGTGGTCAAAATCCCTTAATGCTTTCTATTTGTACTTTCACTATTCTTCCGCTAGATTATGTGCGTGCCCATGGTCAGAGTTGTGCTTATATTTGCGTACATTCCTAAGTATAAGTACAAGTTGATAAATTCCATACTTTGCGTGGGAATGTTCGTATGTACTTATTCCGCACACATCTGTGCATGTGCACTGATGATAAATGAGGCTCCTGGCCTTTGTAGGTGCCTTCAGCAGCAGACTGGAACCAGGAAGGCCTCTCTGACTGGTCTGCAGCTACTCTTCCCCAATCTCAGCTCACCCTCTCTTTCCCCCTGTCCTTTACATAAACACAAATGTGCATGCAAGTTTCCCATCTTACAAAGTCAGCACTGTGAACAAACACAATATACAGCTAAGCAAACTGTATGCACATGTTCCCTGAATTTCACAAAAAGTGTACTAGATTACAAACGCATACTCCACCTGGAACATCTTCAGTGACGAGTGGAGCTGACATCTGTGGGGGATCAACATGTACAGCTGTAGGGATGCACAGGTCAACTGTTGCTGAACTTTCGTGTCCTGCATCCTTGTCAGTGTTTGCATCCTCATTCAAAGGCTGAAACCCGCCATCTGCACAACAGAGTCGCTGGAGTTGTCTTTAAGTGTTACCCCACAAAGAACTGGACTCATTTAATCATATTGTTCACACATTAAAAACTTTGATTTAGGGATAAATATTACATCGATATCGACAAACCTTTTACTGGACGTTCCATGGAGTTGGTCTGGTCATCATGATGTTTGGCCTGAGATGAAGAGCCTAACACTTTGTCTGCTCGGCCGGGTTCCTAGCATGGATAACATGTTACAACACAGACATAGGACTCATTGCATTTTACTGTTTGTATGTTTATGAAAGCCAAGTATCTATCAGTATTTGTTGTGAATAGCAGGTAAAGCTGCATAGAAAAAATAAAGTCTGCGGGGAAAACAATGTGCAGCTTTGAACGTCATAATGAAACAGCTTCTAGATCAGTTCGAAACAGTGATTAATAAATGAATACCGAAACTTAAATGACTACAGCCACACTAAAAGCCTCTGTCTGCCCTCAGGTCAGGTGTACATAAAGACAGAATGCTAAACTAATTTTAGAGGCAGCAAAATCAAAAGAAAATGTAAGCAGATGCATATTTGTCCATGAAGGTGAAAGCCATGCAAGTTTTTTATCGTAAATATTTTCACTTCTTCTCATTGCTAGAAAATCCCAAATCAATTTAATCAAAGATGACTCAATTTCGGTGAGTCAGCATCAGGTCACACACTGAGTGAAACGGATTAGTGTTATGAAATACACCTGTGGGTTTCTCTGCCCTGAAAAGTCAAAAGGTAAATGAGTTGTAAAGGTAGCAATTCATCAGTGTCACACTCTCGTTTACTGTTATTTTCCTCGAAATGGGACAATGATTTATAAAACGAATATCGTGTCGTACTGAATGAGACTTGAAACTAGCAATTAAAACGATATTCTCATTAGGATAATGTTTACGGAGAAAACAAACCGAGTGAAAATTTGCATAATTTTCTCATAAACTTCGACACAATCTATACAAACTTTTTCTTCTCCCCCTGCTGGCCATAAGAAAGAATGCAGGTTGAAGTCACTTGCACACTGGCTTCACTTTTTGCATCTGGATGCTATATTCGTCTCTTACATATAGTCTGTCTGTTGACCGTCTTAGTTTGGCATATAAGCATGCTGACATTTATTACGGCTTCTAACGTCATGTCTTTAATTCTGCAGCTAGTTAATCTTCATTCTAAATTATTACTGATCGCCAAGGTTGTTGGAACCACAAATTCCAGCACAAGAAAGAAAGACAAACCATCAGATCAACAATGCCAAACCTAAAGCCACAACACTGGCATGGTAAAAAAAAAAACAAAAAAAACATCAGCGGTGTTTGGAGACATTTTAGGAAGGATCATATTTGAATCTTACCTCTGAAACCTTCCTGAGGACAACTTTTAATTCCATCATCACTGGTTTCTTTTGATGAAATGTTTTCACAATTGATTGTATTTGTTCTGGAAGAAAGAAGAAGAGTGATATTTACTTTAAAAAATCCATAAAAACATGCGTAGTGTCCGCACACACCAACAATAAACTCAGTAGCCACATTTCTATAGAGGATATCTTTAGGAGATGTTACCTTGTATGATGCTGTTGTCTGTGCAGGGATCTGCAACAGTTGGTGCATCCTCATCCTCCATTTCTCCGTTTTCCATTTTGTCTTCCTCTTCTTTACTCCTGACAGCCTCTGAGTCTCCAACCTCTCCATCAATTTCAGTCCTTTCATCCTCGCTGTCCTCCGTCAGCAGCACCTCGTCTTCACTGTCTGGAACCAAGTTTTTATCTTTAAAGTCTTCCTCAGTTTGTGCTGAAGTCTGCATTTCTGCATCTGTGATCAGGATATATCAAGATGTAAGAATGTTAAAATTACTAATTGGTATCAAATATATTGCACCTTTTTTCTTTAAAAAATGCTTTAATACATTTTCTGGTTTAAGTTACCATTTAAAGAAACCCTCAGAGAGTTTATTTCCTACCTGAGTTCTCCCTGTGGTTCTAGTGCTCTTCTGAGGGCTGTACTACAAAGCGAGATTAGAGGGTTAGCCAGGTATGTTGAGCTTAATGTCAGACTTTTCAGTGTCACGAAGGTGGCTCTCTTTCTACCTAACTAGATCTCTATGGTAACTGATGCTGTGGAGCTAGATCTCCATGGTAACTTATGCTGTGGCGCGAACCTGTTATGGTTCAGAGTTTCGGATTTAAATCGGCTTTCCATCCATCCATTCATTATCTATACACCGCTTAATCCTCACTAGGGTCGCGGGGGGCTGGAGTCTGTCCCAGCTGATTCAAGGCAAAGGCAGGGGACACCCTGGACAGATTGCCAGTCTATCACAGGTCTACACTTAGAGACAGACAACCAAGCACACTCACATTCCCACCTACGGACAATTTAGAATCACCAATTAACCTCAACATGTTTTTGGACTGTTTGGGAGGAAGCCGGAGAACCCACGCTGTATGGGGAGAACATGCAAACTCTACGCAGAAAGAACCTGGGTGTCCTCACTGGGACGCAAACTGTCAACCTTCTTGCTACAAGGCAACGATGCTAACCACCGCTCCACCTTGCAGCCTGCAAGATCCTCTCCCTTGAACCAAATCATTTTATACTATTATTTATGAGCGATACAGATTCTCAGCTGAGGGAATGTGTTTAATCTGCAAACATGCCGGGTTGTAACACACTAATATCACTAAATGAAGCCGTGTAGTCACAGTATTGCACACGGTAAATATCATGTTGCCATGGGAATCAGACATATATTTAGTTGGTGATGCAGAAATCACACATGTATATATGTATTTATGTTTGGCTCTGATTTGCTGTCAAGTCCGTTTACTCTGCTGGTATGCAACTAATAGAAAACAATTTAAAAAGGGGATTATTCCGCTGGTATTTATGACAGAGAATATTCAACTAATAACATTAATTTCGCTTTGATTTGGCCAGGAATTGAAGTGATGTCCTGCATTATGGGACAGTGTCAGACCGAAATGCACTCCAATACAAGATCAGGTTTAAATACATTAAGTTTAAAGTTTAAGTTTAAAGTGCAGTTGTCAGTTGGAAATAAGCGGCTGCATCTGTAAAATATTATGTATTAACATGTTTAACAGTTTTCTACCAGCATTCCTGTATTGCACCTTTTGTAGACACTTTTTACTGCCATAACTTTTTTTCTATTCCTCATTGTTTTCCAATAAAACAACCTGATGACTGAACCAGCTGCACACGATCATTTCATTTTGTGCAGCAGACGAATCACATGATGCGTTAAACACCTCCTTTTATGTGAATACGCACAGAGTTTGAAGCAGAAAGTCTGAATTAACAAAAAAAAGTTGAGAACCACCTTCTGATACTCACTATCCTTCCGTTTCTTGTCGAGCCAGCTTTCACAAAGAAAGCCTACTATGTCAAACTTGCTTCGTAGTACAGCCCTCAGGCATGTGCATCTAGTTGTTTGTTTGTTTGTTTGTTTGTTTTAAATTTTGTATTGCTTCATTTTTGTGCTTCAGTTTATTGTCCATGCCTCTGGATTCGGGATTTTTGCTTAACTGCTACCTGATCCTTGTGTTTTTTGATTGAACATTTGTATGGGTTTTTTTGTGTCCAATAGACGAAAAAGATTTATTTAGAATAAAATAGAATATCCTTTATTCGTCTCACAAGAGGAAATTTGCAACGTCACTGCAGCAAAGTGACAGTAATAAAAGCAAAAAAACACAACTATATATTAACCCTATTTAGGACTTCCCTGTTGCCATAGGTAAAAGGTCTTTCATGATCCATTGGACCCCAAGAAAAAATGGTAAAGAAAGAATACATGCAAAATATTTGTTGGTATTCATTATACTATGTTAAATACATTTTCTGACAAGTTGACATATTTTTGGTTCCAAATGCATGACAAATGTCCCTGTTTTGATATTTTAAAAAAATTTAAAAATTAAAAAATTTAAAAAAAAACTTAAAAAAATAATAAAAACAATACCTGCCACCTAAACCAAATGGCCTGGGGTCCAAAAGACCCCAAAAGTCCTGAATAGGGTTAAAGAGACAAGGTATATACACTATATATACAATATAAATAAGAAAAACTGAAGAAAAAAGGGATACTAAGACCACAAATTTAAGAATATTTGCATGAAATATTCTTGCAAATATTCATTTTCATTTTTAGTTTTGAAACCTGCCTCTTGTGTCTGCATTTGAGTCCTCTCCTGACACCCCATCTGACGCAGACTCAGAATCTGCTGATTTGTTTTTTTGCTGGAAGTACAAAGAAAAAAAAGTCATCATGACTGACAAGATTACATTTTTGTTTTGCAAAATTAGTATCATGCGGTGTTCAGTTACCTTTGCCGTTTTCTTTCCATTCTTTTGGTATCTAGGAGGAGTTTCTATGAGCTCTTTCTGTGATGAAATAGTTAGGCTGTTTATTTGGTGTAGTCATACTTATGTTGAAGAAACAAAACTACATAAAAGATTAAAAAAGAAAAAAGAAAAAAAAACTTACATCAAAATAATACTGGAGAGGTTTCCTCTTGTAGAGAATACTACATTTCCATTTCTTTGCGCTGCCTTTTCCCGCACGGTACTCAAAGTGAGATGGAGTAAAGAATTTGCCCTCATGCTCAATACATGCTTCTCCTAAACAGAGACATGACATGATGTACCATATATCACATGTGGAAATGGAAAAGCATAAATACATTTTCAGAAAATTGTGTTTTGCCTTTTTTTTTGCAGTAAAAGAAAACTGGACAAATACGGGAAATCTTTTTGTGACAGTTGACAAGCAAGCACTTCAACACCACAAGGAAATTTAGTTTTTTAGTTCATTCAACAAAATTATCAATCAACGTTGTATCCCTCTATAGGGCAAACGTGAGTAAACCCTCAGCATTAGAAGCTTGTTTTATTCAAATGTTTTGAATAAATGCAAAATTCCTTCAGTTGCAACTTTTATCAATAGGGACTGTTTCAAAGACGATCACATGTTTGCTTGGGACTGGAACTGCTCACCTCTGTTCAGCTTTTCTGTATCCAGGAGGCCCTTTATGTTTCCACAAGTTACACGCAGCTGGCCTAGATATAGCAGACAGGAATGCCGTGTTGGACACACAGTTTCATTTATTAATGCTTAATACCAGCAGATTAAGCAACATTGCGCCATAAAATGTTATTTTTTTCATGTCTATACATTTATTTTTGCTGTAAATGCTCAGTATGGGACGTGTTATCAATAAAACATATTAAAAATATATAATGCATGTTCAGTGTGACGCAAAACTCACTATTTTCTAGCTCCATGAGGTCGTCGTCCTCATCTTCCTCCTGGCCCTCTTCATTGTCATCATCATCATCATCATCATCATCATCATCATCATCACCATCATTATCATAATTAGCAGGGCTTGTTCTATAATTGACTTTCTTTCGTCTCCTTAGCGTTTCTCTTCTGTTAGAAGTACGTTCTTCTTCATCCTGTTCTTCGTCATCCTCATTACTATTATCATTATTATCACCGTCACCAGTTAGGCGACTCAACACAGTTCTTCTCTTCATTTCCTGTTCTTTTCAAATTTAACACACACGGTCTTTTTCAGCAGGACAAACCTCCTGAAATATTTCGCACAATCTCTGAAACAAAAAAAAGAGCGAGAGAACACTCAGAATACCATAGGAAAAATAAATGAAATTTCCCCCAAACACATAGATCCTTGTGTGGCTCAAGACAGTGGTAGATACACAACTACAAGACCAAGGACTAAGAACCTGCAGTGGTGTTTGCGATTGACTGTACAGACTGAGGATTGGATCAAAGGGAACATGCAGCATTTTTTGTTTTTACCCTCTTTTTTTTCGTTTTTCTTTCGATTTTTCAGCATTTTTCCATTATCTATACACCACTTACCCTTCACTAGGGTCGTGCGTGGACTGGAGCCTATCCCAGCCAACTCAGGGACATTTACACTTACAGACAATTTAGAATCACCAATTAACCTTAACATGTTTTTGGACTGTGGGAGGAAGCTGAAAAACCTGGAGAGAATCCATGCTTCATGGGGAGAGCATGCAAACTCCACGCAGAACCAGGACGCGAACCGGGGATCTTGTTGCTGCGAGGCGACGGTGCTAACCACCAGGCAACCTTACAGCATGATTTTTCAGCATTCACTTGTCAGGGCTCAGTAAGTGCTGTGTGTATATTTTGAGATCATATGTTCAGTAACATCTAAGGTTGGTGTTATAGATGTTACATCATAGTTTCCAGTAGCCTTTATTTCTATGCAGTAGCGCTAGTAGTACTAGTGGTAGTGCTCCAGTTGTTTTAACTATGACATTGTAGACAATAAAATACTAGACAGATGATCTTTGCTCTCTGCTCATGGTTCTTCCCACATTTTGCTTGAACTCTTATGTGAATCAGCATCGAAGTAGTGAAACGTGTCCGTCTGAAATTGAATAAATCAACTATAAAAGACCAAGAAATAGGCAAGTTCAACAGATTTAATTACTGATCTGTCACATTCAGACTGTCAGGGTTTTGCAGTACATACCATCCATCCATTAGCTATACACCGCTTAATCTCACTAGGGTCGCGGGGGCTGGAGTCTATCCCAGCCGACTTAGGGCGAAGGCAGGGGACACCCTGGACAGGTCACCAGTCTATCACAGGGCTACACTTAGAGACAGACAACCAAGCACACTCACATTCACACCTACGGACAATTTAGAATCACCAATTAACCTCAGCATGTTTTTTTGGACTGTGGGAGGAAGCCGGAGAACCGGATAGAACCCACGCTGCACGGGGAGAACTCCACGCAGAAAGATCCCGGTGCCCCTCCCAACCGGCGACCTTCTTGCCGCGAGGCAACGGTGCTAATCAACTGCTCCACCTTGTAGCCCGCAGTACATACCAACATTAATGAACAACAGACTAGAATTATGATGTATTATGCTCCGTTTAGGATTTGTACTATAAATGTTGCCTCTGTTACCATCAAACATGTGAATACTGAATGGACCTTTAAGATCAGAAAAATTAAATCCAAATATCTCCAAATACAACTGAAATTCTGAGTTTCTGCTGTTGAACTCCCGCAGCATGTTTCAGCTCACCATGTTCCAGTTTTCTACATTTGCATCTCAAATCAGACCTAATAACCGCCAACAGTGGTGGATTCTGCCACTCATCTCCAAACACACACCGATCAGATTATTGTATCATCGGATTGAACTATGACTTTGCGCAGTAACGCCTGAATCCACCGCTGCCTGCTGTGTTTCCCCACCGCGGTGGTTCACACAAGAAAGCTCTAAAAAAAGCACCGATTCTCTTTATTATATTTATGCGCAATCGCTTCACGACATCGATAAATCTACTTAGTTTGTTCAGCAATCACCAGAATATCATCAACATCACGAGTCTCTGTCTTACCTCTGCTGCCGCTCAATTCTGGAAATGAAACCGAAACTTTGAGTGGAAGACACTCCCACTAAACTACTGCTGGCATTCAGACGAGTTCTACTTAAAACCATTAGGACTGTAATATGAAACTGTAATTTTATTGGGAGTATCTACTGGAGAGAAACATTACGATGGCATTTATTTTTGTTTGTTTTGTTTTGTTTTACAGAAATTGTTTCCTTTTTCTCTTTTCTTCGTCTCAGATGCTCACATTATTGCGAAATTATAACAAGCTGTCAAACATAATTACTAAATTTATTGTTGAAAAAACATTATTACAGTTTTTCTAAAATTCTAAAATACTAAATCCCATTCTGTGAACCAAACCCTGAGTGGTCTGAACCCAGTGATTGAATCAGTCACTCTTTGGGGGGAAACAAAAAACAAAACCTAAAATAATTTTCACCAAGTTACACACAGTTTACAGGTCTCATTGATTTGTTTTGCAAAACCCAAATGAAGCACGCAAATTTGCAGCTTCATTTGCAGTGTACTATAATGTACTTTTCATTACATACTTTGTAGTGTTTTGTTTTTATTGTAAGCGCTGAATCCACTAAGTTGTTCATAGTTTCTTTAGGAAAACTCCTTTCATCTAAACATTCATAAGTGGGTGTCATTAATAGCGTTAGGATTACTGAACAGATGGAATAAAATAGAGAAGAATAAAATATTTCAACAAGCACTGGATGTATTGCCATGAAAATGTTCAGTTGTCCTCAAATTTATTCAGTTCATTTATTCAATCAGACTTCTGCACCTGTTGACAAGTATTTAGAGTTTGGCCCACTGCTCATCAGTGAAGTGTTTTAATTTGTCCGGGACAGTTTTGTTTTTTTCTCTTAAATTATTCTTTTCAACTACAATTTAAAAGCAATGTCTTATTTCACTAAATTATAATTTACCAAGTTTTTATTTATTATTACTTTTTTTCAGTTTCTAGTTATTTGAGTGACGATTGTGAATTTTGCCTTTTCTTTAATGGAAGGGTATGAATACATTTGAGAACGACTGTATGTACAGTCATGTCCACCAGAAGGTAAATAAAATACATGATCATGATAAATATGGCCATATTTAAAGAGTTTGGTGATTCCTGGATGTTTCCTCTTGTGCAAATGACCCTAACATCAGCAGAGTTTTGTCTTCACAGTAAACTGTTATTAGTGAATTTCAAAAGATCGACAAGTTGGCAAATACTTTTGTGCCACATTGTCATCTTGAACAATGACCACACCATTGGTTATAGATGGTGCACTGATTAGATTTCATATTCATATTGCATTTGTTTACATTTAAATGTGCAAGTGCTGTGACCAACTCATCACATAACATAACACCCTTCCCTTTCATGCCATTGCTTAGCAACATAGTCTCCACCCATTGGCAGCCACAGCCCAGGCTAAAACCCCCCAAAAAGACATCACAAAACAGCCCCAGTTCGTCCAATCTGCTTCAAACTTGACAATGCACTTCCTCCAGGCGTCAACAATACACCTGCCAGGTTTGAAGCTGCTCCGATGTACGGTTGCTGAGATATTTGATGGTTACTGTGCAAAGCAAACTTTTGTCAAAAAAGTTTACAACTGCTGATGACATCATAAAGGCATTCTAGAACTTATGCCGACAGTCAGAGAGAGGAGATCGGCCGTGTCTCAATGTGCGTACTTGTCCTTTTTTTTTTTTTTTTAAACTTTATTCAAACTGACCAACAATACAAGACATCTTGAAAGTCCGTTGACATACAAACAAGAGCAAAAGATGAAAGGGAAAAAAAATATGAACACACTAAAGACACATACGCAAAAAAAAGAGAAAATAAAATAAAATAAATAAATAAAATAAACACAAGGCAATTACTCAAATAAATACACTAAACGTAGTGCAAACATCGACAATTTTACCAGCTTTTTTGTTATTTATACAGGAGATGGTTGAGATATACTGTTCCATTTCAGTCTTTAGCACCAAAAAAAGTGTTTGTTTTTTTTCGTGAATTTGCATTTGTGGATATGAAATTTAGCAACAAGTAGGATTAGATTCACTAGAAAGAATGCATCATCCTTCTTCCCACAGTCACTAAAATAACCAAAAATGACATTTTTGTAGTACAGGGAAAAATCAGAGAAAATATTATCAACTATGAATGAGTTCATGTCTTTCCAGAGTTCATATGTGAATTCACAAGACCAGAACAAATGTGAAATAGTTTCAGGATGCAAACCACAAAAAGAGCATTGCACATCAATGTCATTCTTAAACTTATTCATGCGTACATTTGTGGGGTAAAACCTGTGGAGCTCTTTTGGCCCTGACAGAGACGTGGCTCAAAGAGCAGGACCCTCAGTGGAGTCTTTGGGGCTCCATATCGCCTTGCCAGAGTCCCCGCAGTGACCGGCAAGTCACTCGGCGGGGATGTGTGTCTCTATGTCAATGAAAACTGGTGTAAGACGGTGATTGTCAGGGAGACACTCTGCACAAAAGACATTGAACTATTGTCTGTATCACTTCGACCCTTTTATCTGCCCAGAGAATTCCCACAAGTATTTATCACTCTGGTTTATATCCACCCGAAAGCTAATGCCGAAGTAGCCACCCAGGCTATGCTAAAAAACAGTGCAGCGGCTTCAGGGGATAGCGCCGGACGCTCCGTGCCTTATAATGGGCGACTTCAACCACTGCAACCTTTCGAAGTCCTTAAGCAGCTTTTATCAATATGTGACATGCCCCACTAGACAAGCAAAGTGTCTCGACCTTTGTTTTGGAACCCTCAAGGGTGCATACAGGTCTTTTAGCAGAGCTCCGTTGGGCACGTCCGACCACAGCGTTGTTTACTTGATTCCGTCATACAAATCTGTCCTGTAGAGGAACAACCCAGAGAGACGTTTGGTTCCGGTTTGGTCAGAGGAATCAATCTTCTGCCTCCAGGACTGCTTCCACAGTACAGATTGGAATTTATTCAAAAAAGTCTGTGTGGATCTTGATGAACTAACTGTAGTGGTCTCTTCTTATGTCTCGTTTTGTGAGGCCTGCATCATTCCTTCTATCGGAACAGCAAGCCATGGGTGACAAAAAGTGTCAAAAATATAATTAACCAAAGAAACATTTGCTTCTTACAGGGTGACACTGTACAACAGAGACAGCTTCAGAAACAGCTCAAAAAAGAGCTCAAACTTGCCAAGTGCAGGTACAAGGACAAGGTGGAGAGCATGCTCAGTGCGGGCAGCTCTCGCCCTGCTTGGGAAGGGGTGAAATCCATGATGGGGATGCAGTCCAAAAAAGGTCATATCACACCGAACGGAAAGTCTGATCTGCTGCTTTCCAACGAACTGAACCGTTTTTACAACCGTTTTAATGTTTATGATTTTAGTGATGAACTGTCAGCTTTTAGAAATATTGGCTCTTCTCAGACCAGTGTTGTTGTTAGCAGCAACAAAGTCTGCGAACTCTTCCGTGGCGTCAAGGAGAGGAAAAGTCCTGGCCCTGATGGTATTGGAGGTTGTGTTCTTAAGCACTGTGCTGTCCAATTGTCAGACATATTTAGTTTTATCTTTTTAACGTCCCTCCAGCTCCACAGGGTTCCCTCTCTTTGGATAGACTCCATCATTGTTCCTGTGCCCAAGTCTGCATCTCCCAAATCCTCAAATGACTTCAGACCTGTTGCATTAACCTCCCTGGTCATGAAGTCATTTGAGAAAATTGTCAAAGAGTCCATTCTGACCTGCGTCCAGGATAAGCTGGACCCACTTCAGTTTGCTTACAGGTCAGGCAGAGGAGTTGAAGATGCAGTAGGCACCCTGATAAACTTGGTTTTAACCCACCTTGAGGGAGCCAGTTCCTTGGTTCGTCTTTTATTTATTGATTTCTCGTCTGCTTTTAATTGCATTCAGCCACATATTTTAGCAGGAAGGCTACTTGATTCCTACAACGTTGAGCCTGGTCTTATAGCCTGGCTGATTGACTTTTTAACAGAGAGGCCACAGCGGGTGAGAGTAAATGGTGTCCTGTCAGACACTCTCATCTCCTCCACTGGATCACCTCAGGGTTGTGTCCTCTCACGTTTGCTCTTTGTTTTATACACAAATGAGTGCCGCAGCCAACATGCAGGGCGTCACATTGTTAGGTTTGCTGACGACTCAGTTATTGTGTCCTTGCTGAGTGGTGACGCCCCAGATCATGGACCAGTGGTGAAGGAATTTACAGACTGGTGCAAAGCTTCCTTCTTACACATTAATGTTGAGAAAACTAAAGAAATGTTTATTGACTTTCGAAGGAATGCCACGAACATTCCTCCTTCCAGGATTAATAATCAAGCAGTGGAGCAGGTCAGCAACTAAGTACCTTGGTGTTCACCTTGATGACAAACTGTCTTTTAGTACTCATGTAGATGTTGTGTGCAAGAAGGCTCAACAGCGTATTTATTTTTTTAGGAAGCCGCAGAGTTTTAATGTTAACAGTTCTTTGATGCGAATGTTTTGTTCTTGTTTTATTGAATGTCTTTTAACCTTTTCTTTTATTTGCTGGTTCGGCTCCCTCACTCTTAAGAACAAAAACAGACTACAAGGTATTGTGAGGCTGTGTGGAAAAATAGCAGGGAGGAACCTAAATAACTTGACAGCCCTACATCAAACCAGGTTATTAGCCAAGGCCCGTTTAATCACCGCAGACCAGAGCCATCCCTTGGTCCACTGGTTCCAATTACTTCCGCTGGGGCGCAGGTATGTTCTGCCAAAGTGCAGGACCAATAGATATAGATTTTCTTTTATCCCTGCTGCTATTTCCCTGTTAAACAAGTGATCGGTCTTGTCTTTTCTCTGTTGTTGTTGTTGCATGTGTGATTGTGGCAGTAACTGTCTCATTGCTGGCTACACAAAAATTTCCCCACGGAACTTTTGACCCTGCCTTCCTCGTGCGGCCCCAGGCGGCCGACTGGTCAGGTCCTGTCATGCCCCGCCGTTGTGTTTTTTTTTTTTTTTTGCGACGGAGCGCAGCGAAGAGCGCCAAGGCGGCACGC